AAGCAAGGACATCAGCTTGTTAAGCCCGTCCTGCATGCCCTGGGGCAAAGAGGAAAATCTTCCATCCTCACAGAGAATCAGTCTAAACCACTCAAGTGAAGATTGACTACAAGTGCTACCAAGTGCAGCGGGGCTGCCGTAGTTTTGCGCTTTGAGGAAGCGTAAGTTAGATCACCGACCTTTCGCTCTATACATAGAACAGGTACGAGTGTAGCGGATCGCAATCCGCTAACTCCAAGAGTAGTTAGTACCTTGACTCAGGCTAAAAGACTCTTCAGTTTAAATTCAAAACTGATTTTTATTTATTTTTATCTGCGACAGAGCCGCCTAATTTAAAATGTTTAGATTTTCCTAAATATATATAGTAAAATCTATATACATGCATAACTACTGACTACTGCTACTTAGCCACATACCGTATTTTTGTTTGGGTGCAGTCACACACACCCCTGTTACCAAAGCACGTGTAACCCCGTTATAGAGACCATGAGTAAATGCTTATAAACCGTCAAATAGGATGAAAAAATTCTATGTGAATCGCAAATGCCATAGTGTACGTAGGGTATCTGCAACGTTGCTATGTACTTTGCACACAGGAAGCTTTGACTTTCAAAATTAACAGCGCACTTTCATGCGGGGTGACACGTACCCTGGTATGACGGGGTTGGTCACACAAAATAGTGTGACCACAACATACAGGAAGTCAGAACGTGCTGGACCGCCAGTAGTTATGCATTTTGATTAGGTATTACTATGTTATTAGAAAAACATATAGATTTAGATATAGACGACTTTGCCGCAAATAATTCCAAAAATACAGCTGACATTTCAAGCGGAAGAGTTTATCTGCCTTCACATAACGTTGTGGTTAATTTTGGAGTAAGCGGGTTGCGATCCGCTACACTCGTACTGGTCATAAGTATAGAATGAAGGTAGGTGGTCTTAGCTTAGCTTCCTATAAGCAAAGAGCTACGGCAGCCCCGCTTGGTAGCACTTGTAGTCATTCTACACTTGAGTCGTTACGACTGATTCTCTGTGAGGATGGAGCAGTTCTTCAATTTGCCCCAAGGCATGCAGGACAGGCTTAACAAGCTGATGTCCTTGCTTGGCTCTGAGGGCGTGCAACACCTCGCTTTGCAAGGACCTGAAGCAATGAGTGCTTAGAGGCATTTCAAGCTATATATATACTTTGCTTAAGTACCTAGAGCAGAAGATATCGGCGTCGCCTGCGTCCATGACGCCATCGTCGACGACGGATAACCCCACCCGACCCAAGCCGCTAATGGTTAGCGTTAAGACCTTCGAGGTCAAGGATGGAGAGAATCTCCTGCTCTGGGTGAGAGAGGCTGAGATGTCTATGGCGTCTGCCATGCTCCAGTGCGTGACGCTAGCTACCACCAAGCTCGGTGGTCGAACGCGAGAGTGGGCACTGCATGTGGCACTCCGGTTGAAGCGGCATTCCTTTCCTAGAAGGAGCTGAAGGGGTGCAGATTTTTTTAGTGTTCTCGCCGCTAAACCAGGTATACCGCGTGCAATCGCGTTTTTTTACGCCCGACAGGGCCAAAAGAGATTGGTGGACTTGTTCCTAGAACTTTCATTGCCGGGATGGCAGCAGATCTTCTCCCCTAGACTGCACAGTGACCGTCTTTATGGACGGCCTCCGCACTGGAGTGACCAGAACGGAAGTCATCCTTGTGTATCCGTCTTTGTCTAAAGAACCGGTAAATACGGCATTGAAATTCGGATTCAACCTTAAGTCGGCACAACTTGGTTGGAATGCACACCCTTAAAGCTCGTTGAGTGGGCTTGAGCCAGTGATGTTCAGCCATGCTGAGAAAGAGGAGGGAGAGCTCCGAGCTGCCGAGCAGCGTTTAAGCATCCGACGGTGTTTTGTCTTTGGAGACACCCGTCACTTCGGACGGGTTGTTTCCTTCGCAACGTGCGTAAAGGCTCATCGAACTGACGTCCTGCTTCTAACCAGTCCTCTGGTACGTCGCGGAGAAACGACATAACTCAGTAGGCGCGGGGTGCCCTACTGGGGTAACACTGAGTTCTGCTGTGCCTCAAGGAGATGAAGGGCATCAGGGCCCAGCCCTGAAGAGCTTCGTGCTCTTGAACACGGAACGTGTATGCAAGCCGGGCTTGCTGGTCGTCAAGGCGACTGTGAAGGGTCTTTGATAAGCCATGGGAGATCATCATCAATTCCGGGGCGTCAGGCAATTATGCTTGACGCTCCACAATCGAAGGAAGTCAGCTTTATGCTGAGTCGCTGGAAGCGCGGTTGAGTGACACTGTCACTGTGCGCTTAGCGACGGGGATATGTGTCACTGTGCTGAGGGTCCCTGTGGACCTTGGTGTCAAGTTTCTTGACCTCGCTAGCGTGAAACGCTGCTTAGTCTTAGACTTGGATTCGAGGTATGATCTTATCCTTGGCTTGGCATGGTTGGACCACCATGAGGCATGGAATGATTGGAGGTCGAAGACCTTGGGCGCTACAGGCACGATTCATCGAGCATTGGTGAGTCATGCGCCGACCACTGCTAGGAAGTAGAAGCTCTATCGGCGCGGGTTTAGGTCAAAGTGCTGGATATTGGAGTATCTGAGCTGTCGAACACCGAAGTTGGATTGGGCAAGAGTTCCGAGCAATCCATCTTCGGTGTTCGACAGCTCAGATACTCCAATATCCAGCACTTTAGGCTCGCGGGCTGGACGTGGAGTGGCACATAGTCCACTGAGCACTGCTCGCGTTACAAAGCAGTTGCTGCATGCCACGAGTGGCACGGTCGGACGAGGTTTCGAGGCATCTTGGGCGAGGTCCTTCAGATGCGCGTGGAGTGGCACTGTGTGAAGACTGCGGAGCAAGCAGCCCTTTGTCAGATGTTGTTAATAACATCAAAACTCCGATGGAGTAGGGAGTAGGGACACTGGTCGACGCCGAGTGTGTGTTCCCAGTGGTCTCGATGAGACTCAAAACCTCTATAGAGAGAGACGGCGAAGCCGTATGTTATCTTCAAGACGCAGGGCGTCGACCCTGACCCAGGGTGTGTCAACCGTAGGCGATAGCGCACAGCTATATACCCTTGTCACCGGTATGACGCAAGCGGAAGACGGCAACGTTACCCTCGAGGCTATTCCTGCGGTGGGTGCTCTTCTTGAGCTGGACGAGATGCCCCTCAAAAAGTTCGGCGCCCTGAAGGCAGGCAACCTAGCCGAAGTGGTCATTATACGACCGGAAGAGGATATCAACTCGTCGTCGCTTTTGGTTAAAGCTGCCGTGGAGGAAACCAAGAGGATGCAAAACGCACGAAGTGGGTCCTCCATACCGAAGAATCCCTCGAATCCGTACTATCCTTTGGTAAAAGAATTTCAAGAAGTCGTCTCCAAAGACCCGCCATCGTCCTGCCTCCGGACCGAGGTGTGCGTCATGAGATCGACCTGGCTCCGCAAACCAAATACCGCGTAACATGCCAATGGCCCCTGCCCAAGGAGCAGTGTAACGTCATTGACACTTTTTCCCGTGCGAGCACGACGCAGGAATGGTGCGTGAGTGCAAGTGTCCCCATTCGACACCCAAGTTGTGTCCAGAAGCCGAGCGGCAAGTGGTGTATCATTCATGATTTCAATAAGCTCAACGCTGCCACCAATTCGGCACAGACGCCGATTCCTAGGAAGAATGTTCTCCAGAACAACATGGTTGGTTGAACAAAGTACATTGCGTCGATGGATATTGCTAATTGATTATGAAGGCGAGTGATATTCTGCTGACAGCGGTAGATACTCCGAGCGGCATGCTCTGGGAGTGACTGGTAATTCCTCAAGGACTGTCAAATGCACCAGCAACATTCAATCGTTTTGTGATGCAGGGGTTCAGGGTCCAACGGGCGTATGCACAGACATACATAGACGATTTCCTCGTTCAAAGTAGTGCGGGCACGGAAGGACAGATGAGTTATCGTCCGTTTGAGAGCGGTGCTCGATTGCGCACACGAATAAGCTGTATGCTAATGCAGAAAAGTGCATCTTCGGCGCGAAAGAAACCCCCTTTTTAGGATGCTTCACTGGAAACATGGACTTCGAGCATATCCCGCTGAGGTCATAGCCATTGTGGACTGGCCTGTTCCAAACATCCAAAAAGACTTGCACACGTGGCTTGGCCCCGCCAACTTCTTGCACAAGTAAATTACGAATTATGTCGAAGTGGCACAGCCATTGTCGAATCTTCTTAAAAAGGATGCGGAATGGTGTCGGGACACCGAGCATCGGGACGCTTTTGACAGGGCCAATGACAGCCTCCTTCATGCACCAATACTGACGTTGCCAGACC